GGTCCACTCATTTTTTTTTCTTTTATTTTTGTCCAGTTAATTTTTTTTATTTTTAAATAAATAAACTACCCGAATTAACACGGAAAAAAGTTGTCTGAATTTGACATTAAGTTTGTAAATGGAAATGAGTTAAAATGTAATATTAAAGTTGACAAAAGATTTACAAGAGTCTCGCGACCATTCAAATCAAAGCTCGACTCGAATGCTCGCGATTTGTAAATGAATATCAAGGTTGATTATGTAATAAAGGTCTTTTATCACAATTTTAGGTTAGTAGTACAACACCCGTGTATTACACAGGTGTTTGTTAAAAAATAAATCGTAAATTCTAAAATTAATGAAAAAAATATTTTAAATTTTATTTACTTTTTTTACAAATTTATATATATTATTATATTTTTATAATGACACGTGTTACTCATGCGACTTACTTGTGTTATATTTTAGTAATTTTTATAATTTATATCATATAACTACTTGAAATATACATATATTAATTGATAAATAATTTTATTTTTCTACTTAATGTTAAAAAAATAATTTTATTATTGTTATAAAGATAAATATAACTTATTTTTCATACATAGAATATGAATGTTAAATCGAAGTTCATCAAGAGATGATTAATTTGATATATTATATATGTGAAACTGATAAAAAATACAAAAGTTATTAACTTTTAAAATACATTTACAATTCAACGGTTATAATAAGAAATTCTATTAAAATGCAATTGCATGTAACACCATAAATAATCAACATATTTATTGATAATTCGGACCTAATTATTTTTGGATTAAAAGTAAATTAAAATCTACCCAAACCTAATAACGAAGCATGTAATTTTGACATATAGGATCCCGAAATATGTACTTAGCACGTTCTGAATTGATATATATGGGAATCTAAACCATTTCCAAGTTTCACTAGGATTGCTATAATAACATAAATTAGCTTTTGCATTCTTTCTAATAATACCTCTTTTATTTTCACTTCTAAGCATTAGGATTTTTGTCGAGTATCAATGAAGACATATTGTTGGAGATCTTCCTTAGACTCTCCAACTGTCGATATGCTATTCAGTTTAGCTCTGTTTGTCGGCATTGGCATGCATTGATCTCTCAACCCCAATTCATCCCTAGGTTCATCCAACTCCATCGAGATCTGCATCTATTGATTGCAACTCTTTTATCCGAGGAGTCTTTGCTTCTCCACGGCAAGCATGGATTATCATCGTCTAACTACGTCAATTTTATGGGCCGATGCTCATGGTTATAAGGGCATCATGCAACGATTTGTTGCTTGTGTCCCCTGATTCCCGTTATCGAGTGGGAAGAAACAATCCACGGAGGTATTACATCTGTAATCCGGTGACTAAAAAGTGGTTTCGTATTCCTAGCGATCCTTCTTATAGAGCAAGTGCTGGGTTTGCATTAATATGCACTCCCGGTTCTAACGGGCCATACAAGGTGGTATTACTTGACTATCCTAGTTGTTCTCATCAATCGTATGAAGTTCCTGTCGGCCACTACATACTACCAGTGCTTGTATTTTGCTCAGAGTCACGGCAATGGACCAAATCTTCTATCATGGTACCTAAGCGTGCAAGAAATGACTATAGCATTGACTTGAGTATTGTTGTGTGCAATGGGACTCTGTACTGGATGGACGGTTTATATAAACGTGATCTGGGTTGTTTCTTTAGATTTGGGCAACAATCAGGGTTCTGTTATTTACTTCCCGGACATTGTGCGTAACAGCACAAGTGAGGTGCCAAACTCGAGGACTTACCTTGGAGTTGTGAGGGACGAGTTGAGGTTGTTGCACGTTTTGAAGGCCGGGCCGAGCCGGAAATGCTTCGTCGTGGGGGTTTGGGAGTTGGACCGTCGAGATTGTTCGTGGGTGTTGGTTGGTCAAAGGGAGTTGAGTTTTTTGGATGACTACGACATGGACGCATTGGTTGGTTCCGAAAGATTGTGACTCGATTTTCGTCGTGTGTGGAAAGAGTGTTTATGAGTGTGCGGTTTCCAAGGGCAAATGTCGCAAGCTCGGGGAGATTCGAGAATCTATAGGCAACGAGGGTCTCGCGGCCTTGGTTCTCACACATCCCCCGTGGCCTACGCCAGTTCCACGTGTTTAGTTGGAGTTTGGTGTTCGACTCGACTCGTTTCAAGTTTCAGGATGTTTATCATATAATTATATCATTTTATTGTCTTGCATGTGTTTATCATATATTTTGCTCAAGGTTACAAAATTGGGATATGACTAATTTATGAAGGTTGGAGGACTGTTTCATTGCCTATTTGTATATTATAAAATTTAATGTGCAGAGGTTATAAAAAATGCAGCCCGCAAAGAAGCATGTCGAGAGGTGCTTAGAGTTGTGAAGAAACGTCAGTCCTTTTGTCTTAACTGGCTTATGATTTTTGCTTGTGTCGTAAGCGTATTTTTGAGAAGTATGGAGTTTTTTTCTCCCATTTCTCATTTCTTTTTTTCAATTTTACTCATCTTTGTTGAGCTTTGCTTGTTGCATTTATTATTATTTGTTTATATAATGGATATAGTGATGATGAATTAGTTTTTCAGATATTTGTAATGGTACACAAAAGACATCTGACCGACTGAGATTCGGACTAATTTGAGCTCCTCGTCGTCTTAATGTCTTGAGACCTGCAAAAACATTTACAGCGGAGGGGTTTTCTAGTGAAGAACCTTTGATATTTTAATTAGCATTGTGAAGAAGATTAAGTGTTGTATATATGTAGGGAATTAATAATAGAGAATGTAATGTGGGCATACATCATTCTCTTATATAGGAGAATGATATCTTGTTGCCAAAGAATGCCTAAGTGAGCTGTTCAGACTGCCCAAACTGTCTGTTCGTGTGTCACTCCCTTATATAGGAAAATGATATCTTGTTGTGCAAGATTGCTCCAGTGAGCTGCCCATACCGCCCGTTCGTACTTCTGAACTCGAACTGTCCAATTCTGTTACGCCACATCATGACCCTCTCCACATGGGGCACTCACCCCACTAATATTTCCTCTTGTCCCTTTGTCTTTCTCATTAGACGATATGATGGTACGACCAATCTTCATTACCTCAAGGTATAGTGTCCATGGTGTCGAGTTCGAATGCTCTGCTCATTTGGTCCATCTTTTGACCTTCCTTCCGTACCTTCAGGTCGAAATTCAACCAGGCCATTCGAGGGACTTAATTTGACCCATCGGTGTTATCTGACTCGATGCCGCCCAATCGACCTGTTTGTCCATCCGGTTCGATCACGCTGCTTCTCGAGTCCAGTTTACCCGACACGGTTATCCCATATCATGTAACAAGTTATGTACAAACGGTAAAGTTACTCGTAGACAAGTTTATAATCGTTTGGGCAGTCATTTTTTTTTTTTTGAATAGATATGCCTATTTTCCCAATGCCATATTCTAAAAAATGATATAAACATATTTATAATATTTTATTTTGTAAATATGAATTTTGTATTAAACATATTTATATGACGCGGTTAATGTTGCAATTTTAATGAAATGAAAACTCAGTGACTTTTGGAACAAAGGTAACTATTTTGATTATTATACTTTATGCTATATTTCAAAGTTCTAAGTCCAAAAGTTTATTAAGGCTCGTAGGTTAGCCTATGTAAGTTTTATTAATTTTCATGGCTGAATAAGTAGTAAAATAATGAATGATAGGTAAAAAGATACACGTGTGGGTACGTGAATAATGAAATTAATTGAAAATTGTATAATAATGATTGATTACCAAATTTTATTCATATGTAATTGTTATATTTTATGAACGACTGTCGAGAACCATTATAGCACTTATATTTTGAGATTTTTCTCTCGACTTATTGAATTTTTTACCCAAAAAAAAAACAAAAAAAGTAGTGGACAAAAAAAAAAGAAAAAAGTGGGTGGAAATAAATGAAAAGTACGTATTCCGTGAATACGTTTTCTGCACATTTTAATTGTAAAACATATTCACGGAATATGTTTTCTTTTGTAAAAAAAAATGTGAAAAATGTATTTAGTGAATACGTTTTTTGATTAAAATATATAGAAAACGTATTCACGGAATACGTGCTTTTTATGTTGATCCAGTATCCTTTTTTTTGTTGTTTTTTGTCC